CCTTGGACATGTACTGAATCACTCTCAACTTAGTGCCCTCAGCTTGCTGTCGCATTGCACCTTCACAATCATGGCATGCATCAGTGGTTATGATAAACGGCTTACCATACTCTGCAATTCTTAGGACAGGGTAGCGGTGACGGCGGTCTTCAATTGCTGGAAGGGGAACTCGTACTCATTACTCTATTCTCAAGGTGTATTAGGTTAGGTTGGATAAGGCAAGGGAGTGTCTATACTGCTGGAGTTCTCTCGGGACGACCTATACTACCCGACTTACCCCATGAAAGAAAGATCTTAGCACAGTTACATTTTGAGGTTCTGCCCAATCTCTTATGGTCACCACTTTTGCATCCCCAGCCTCAAACCTTCCCTTGAGATCTCATGACCCATACACAAGGCTTCAGATCTACCTTGCTGATGTCCCTACATCCCTGCAGCCTATCCAAGACGTCGTTAGTGCAGGTTAAGGGCTCTGCTTTACGTACACTGATGCCATTGAGGCCCCTATAGTCAATGCACATCCTTAAGAGGACCTCTCTGTTTTATAGTACAAAAAAACCGACGACGCGTACAGTTAGCAACATGGCCTAGTCCAACATTTCTCTGTAATGTGGCCTAATTCAGCATTTGGCGGAGAGTTCCTTGACCTGCTACAGAGCTCATTGAACTCAGTAGGAGACATCATATATATAGATCCTTCCCTTTGGGGTTTTACTTCCTGTGACAGTGTCCATGGCCTATTGTATCTCCCTATTCAACTGTAGAAGGTTCTCTTGGAAGGTCTGAATAATCAGCAACAACCTCTTCTATCTATCTGGGAATTGGTGAGGCCTGCTCCTTTGGAGAGATGAATACTAGATACATCCGTTCCTCTCAGTTTTGTCCCAGCAATTGTACCGAGCTAGCAGACGATCATCCATATGAGTGGTTAGGCGACGAGATTGATACCTCTTTGCCAGCACAACTTTTCCATTCATTGACCCAAAAAGATAGTCTATGTCTATCTTGTCCCTTCCAGATAAAAAGTACAGACCGCGTCCTTCATGTAGTCTCCCACTGCTATCAGTGTGCTTCTAGCTAACATAGACTTTTCCATTCATTGACCTGAAAAGATAGTCTACGTCTATCTTGTCCCTTCCAGATAAAAAGTACAGACCACATCCTTCATGTAGTCTCCCACTGCTATCAGTGTGTCGTTAGCTAACATAGACACTATAGGTCTACTTAGCTGTTGCACCCAGTCCATAAGGGCCAATCTTTCCATACACTCTCGACTGATATGACTGCGAGTTGAATCTATATCAGCTACAGCCCCTGCTTTTCGGCCATTCACATCGACCTCTACTTAAACTAGTTCTCCCTTTGGACCATTCTTCATCGATACCCGAAAACACCATATTTGGTGATTCTTTTCCTAGCTCCTCAAGGGAATCAATCACATCTCGAGGACAGAGTGTCTTATGGTCAGACTGTGACAAGTGAATAGAGTCAAAACCAATTGCCATCGTAGTAAATATCTGTGAGGTTGAGGGAGATTCTTAGATTTACCAGCACTATTTCTCCATCCTACACCTCCTACCAGCTTGCTTGGTTTCCCTCCGGACAGTTTATTTTATGTGACCCAACTCAACACATTTAATACACGCCCCTCTTGATTGCCTGTCCTTCCATACGTACTTTGCTAGTGTTCCCTTTTCCCATCGTTAATATCTCCATCCTCACTAGATCATGTCGAAGGCACTACTCCTACCAGCTTGCTCGGTTTCCCTGTGGACACAGTTTACATTATGTGACCAAACTCGCCACATTTTATACATGCCCCTCTTGACCACCTGTCCTTCCAAACTTGATAGTACTTGCCTTTTCCCATCGTCCTTTTTTTCTTGATCATAACTGAACAAAGGTGGTTGGGATGGACTCTATGCTTGACCTTGCACTTGGGTAGCACTCGTCACTCCCTTGCCCTTTACCCTTCGTCGCTCCCTCAGTTACCTTCTGCAAGGTAACCTGTAAGTCTAAGGATTCCTTGAGAGAGATGTAAAGGTATTTTACTATTTTTGCTTTCTTCCGAGTATATTCTGTTGCTCTGGGTTTGAGAGATTGATCATCAAAAGCTGTGAATAACAATTACAAACACCTTGTAGAATCTGATTAAATTTATAAGAATCTTTTCAATATCCAAGTTCACCCAGGCCAATACACACTTTTCAAAGTTTTTGTTGTTAACTTTGATTTTTCTTCTGACACAAACATGGAAATTAAATGTACTGCGTAGTAAGTACTAAGTACACTACCGCCTCAAACCATAACGATAGAACACTCTTGTAAATTATGGCCTTCTCCCGGAATGTATGCAATAACCTCATTTCAATCGGTTAATCTCTTTTTAGCGATTTCGTATAAAGTGCAATCAGACTCGCTCTCATTCACACTTCTCATGCATGTAAACAGGTTGCGCAGCAAACTGGCGACAAGCGCCTACTCAGAACTCAGAGATATGGAAATAAAAAACACAGTTCAGTTACAAGTTCACCTCAGATGGCTATGGCGTCACAGCGCCTCAACTCTCTGCTCACACCCACACAGGATCACCCTGGATATCCCACACGCACCACACTGTATACACATGCACACACTTACACGCTACACCCTGGCTATGGCCGCTACGACCCTATCGCTATGGCTAAGCTCCTTCTCTCGCCCACTTCGTCTTCGGGCTCACTGCAGACCACCTCGCACAAGTCGCTATGACAGCGCTTCCGCATGGCTTAAGCAGGAATGAATGAATGGCTGGGCGCTGCCTCTTGATTTATACTTCTGTATCTCGTTGGTCTGCCCCTTTTCCCATGCCCGTGGTGCACACAGTCCCATGCGGTACTTGCTTGACTGGACTAGGACTGACTGGGACTGGGACTGCTGACTCATCACGGGTGGACTCCACCACTTGCCCACTTGCCTCAGCCTAAACGTGAGCGGCTTCGAAAGGCCACTACTAGGACCTTCCGGAAGGCCGTGGACTTGGCCTTTCGATACTGTAGCAGCAACGACCTTGACCCTTCAGGACTGTAGCAGCTACGACCTTGACCTTTCGGAGGAGCTACAGCTACGACTTCTAGACCTTGCTAAGACTCCTACCGACAGGTCTACAGATCGAACCCCTGCTGCCTACGGACCCTACGACAGTCTACCAACTGTTACAAATACACAGGTCACGGGTTCAACTCTCGGGGTCGACACAGATACTGTACACAGGTAAGGTAAGTCTAGGGATCGAACCCTGGGATCTGCATTGGCTACTGCGAACAGGTGAATACCGTTTCAAAAGCTGAGTCGGGTCTTTTCGATGTTCTTGTAGAAAGACGAAGGCATACTCCCTTCTTTTGAGGACATTGATTTAGACCCAGCTTGGCTTCCGCGGCCAACTGATTGCCACCTTTTCAGGTAGGGACCAAAGTTATCCCATCAGCAGTACGTCATGTCATAACGTGTGCTTGGAACCTTTGTCAGCTAGTTTACTCTTTTTGTAAGGGCGGCCTCGTTCTTGAACCTACAAGTCTCTACCATTTTAAGCTCGCTGGTCACTCTGCAAGCAGCAGTTCGGTCGTGAAACATTTCACTAACCAGATCCTGGAATGTATCTATGTGTACATTGCCGCCCATTCGAACAGATTGCCCTTGAACCATCTTCCGCTACACTCCCGTTCGCCACTTCAGTGCTGGACCTTGCAGGAAAGGCGCCACAAAGTATCTTTCAGAAGTGTTGGTTGACATCAACCAACCATCCAGTTCTCATCTCTTTTTCACCCGTGAAGATGAAATGTGGATTTGCCATGGTCTTGACTGCTTTACTGGGAGTAGATGGTCCTGCCGCGCCGGGCAATGGAACAGAAGACACCGGTGTCGAGACTGGGACAGACGGGGTTATGGGTGTACTCCAATCATAAGTGGCAAACTAAATGGAGGAAACAGTGGCAATTTTTATTCACCTGGAGGGAACAGATAAGGTAATGATCTCCACTTCTTACTAGTCAATGAGCAGCAGAAATGGGAAATGCCACAATGGTGTCCTTTCGAGTGGAGCATGCATAAAGGGCTTCATTGAATTGTTCATTCACCTTCAACAGGCGTGCATAGGGGCTGCATTCCTTAATGCCGCAACGGTGTCCTTTCGAGTGGAGCATGCATAAGGGCTTCATTGAATTGTTCGTTCACCTTCACCAAGCGTGCATAGGGGCTGCATTCTCTTCAGCAGATGCAATTTGCAAATGAAATAGCTACCAGCTGAAGAGCACAAGAAAGGGGAGTGAGGATATGGGAACGACAGGCATCGAAGTGCTGGAAGTGGGGGGGGGAGGGAGAGGGAACTCAAGGGAGGAAGTGAGTGACAACAGGAGAAGGAGAGAGAGAAGGGCGAGGAGGATGGCTCACGTACTTGCCTGCCGCAGTCTGCTTAGTACTGATTTGGCAGACTGCAATATGCCATTGGTCATGACCACATCTGCAGTTCAACATCCAACGAATGGAGACGTGGTCGATGTGCTTTCCTTTAGTTAACCTCAATGTTTCCGTTCGGTAAGTGAAAACCTTGTAGCTGTTTCCTGATGGGAAATCCATGGATCCTAGAGAACTTCTCCCCGTGGTGTTTAAAGTTTTCATTGCATCCTTTCTCTCTCAATCCCAAGGCGTCAACAAATGACCCATGCACGAAGCTGTTGACGTATCCAGAAATGACGAAATCCATCTGTGAAAGACTGTATGCAAGTTCCTGTCTGGGTAACGGTAGGTGACAGGGAATGATTGACAGAGCAGAGACAGAGAGGGATAGAGAGGGATAGAGAGGATGCGCGGAAGGACAGGGTGTGAACACAAGAACAGCCAGAGGGATCAATCCAGCCATATAGAGAGAAAGGAGGGAAAATGGAATGGAAGATCTCTGGAGACTGATTCTGAAAACAACACTGACGAGGCATCGGAGCAATGCAAACACCATTTTAACCCACCTGCCTTCCCCGATTGGACATAAACCCTGTGGATGAGAGCTCCCGCATGTTCGCATCAACTAATGGATACCTGCACAGGCACCACACTGGTTAGAGCACCAGCAAGCTTTTTTTTTTTTTACGAAGTAAGTTCAAGTAACTCTGCTCATTTTATTGCCAAGGTGTGAGGCCGGGAATTCCTCAACAAACAACCCGGAAAAGCAACATACTGGGACTATTACCCAGCTTCGGTGCAGGCGTTGGGAGAACAGCCAACACCGGATCGCTGCGCTGACAATCTGCAACCCTGGGAAGGAAAAAGCCACAAGGCCATAAAAAGCCGAACAAGCCAAAGCACCACCAAACTGATATGAGCAACGAGAAGACTAGAAAAGTTTTTAAAAAAGGCACATTACCTGGGATGTCCAGTGGGCAGCCTCTATGCCCACCAGGATTAGCCCGAATGCGGGCTTTTTAAAGTTTTCAAGTGTCTTGAGTTTGGGAGGTGAAAGGGACCATATATGGGGTTTTATGAGGAGTTTAAGCTCTAAAGTCTAAACTTTAAAGGGGTACATCTTTTTTTTTTTTTTTTTTTTTTTCGTGTCGAAGGCCAGTCATAGCATGTTAGAGGGGGTGATACCAGCAACCCCGTCCGGCGGGCCTCCCTGGCCGCTCCTGTCCATTGGTGGGGAGCTGCACCTGCTGGAAACTGGGTCCAGCATCCGACGTAACAATAATCAGGTACACTAACATGTCATGCTCTCAGGGCCATTATCCAGTTTCGGCTTACTCTGTCCGCAGTCCAGTCTATGCCTCCCTGATCTCCATCACTGAGCCCCACACCCCGGCAATGGGGTCTGTTCCATTTGCCTACCCAACCTCCAGTAGCAGGGCAAGTGTCTCTGTCGCTAGCAGCAGTCCCCGTGCCACACAACACGAGCCCCGGTATACCCCGGGGGGGAATCCTACCACAGGAATCAGGCGGAGTTGTTCCCGGCCACATGGCCGATCTGCGACTTCGCCCCTCCACTTGCCACCCCTGGTCCGGTTCTGGGGCAATTTTCTACTGCTCAAGCAACACGTAACTACTATCGTGTCCTTGGTGCTCCCCATGAAGGCCTGACCAACTGAGGCAGAGCCTGTCTCCCTGCAATCTGCCGACTGCCCCTCTCCTAGCAGCTTGACGGAAAATTCCCACCGGATTTGTGGCACTTTGTTAGGATATTTTGCCATCTGTTGCTTAGTCATTCTAATAAGGAATCCGGAAGTGACCCAGAGCCAGCGTCTTGCAATTCTAAAAAAAGTTCAAACTTTGGACTTTAAAGGGGTATACCTTTATTTGATTTTTAATTTGACATTCTCAATTCTGTAATAACCCGCTTGAAATATGCTATTGTCATCGGCCAGGGGTCGCCCACAGGCCACAGCAAGGCCCCGCGCTAGACCGTATCCAAACAAGACCCTGAAACGAGGCTTCAGAGGCCCTGCACCAGACAGTTGACCGAAGAAAGTCAATAGTCAAATGTAGCTTGGAAATTGAGGCTCACGAGTCAAAGTCTGCACGGACCCAGTCCAGGCCACCGATCAGACACACACATTTGGCTGTACGCAGGTATCCAGGCAGAATCTGGTCCAAGTGGAAGTCTGCAACTGTATGAGATCCAGGCCATTGACTACGGGTCAGTCTGAGTCCTTGTATCCGAGAAGGCAGAGGCTATTCAATCTGTGTCAACACTACATATTGACCCAGCCCCTGCTCATTGACATTCAGTCTTGCACATGATGCTCGACGCTGGCATGACGCGGGCTTGACGCTGGCACTACGCTAGCATTATGTTTGATGACGACGCGAGACTTCTGCATTGCGTTGTTGGCGCCTCTATGTTCTTGGCGCCAGCTGGGATCTTGATTGCTGATGTGGTGCGAGCCACATTGTCTTCGACACAGATTGGGTATCGACGAGGAGGGAGATCAGGGCTGTGAGATTGGTTGTGAGAGAGAGGGAAGCTTACCTGTTTATTGCTGTCAATGTTGCGCGCTGCTGTGACGTCTTCATGGGAGATCTGTGCCTACGTGGTATGATGTTGTGATCAGTTCCCGCCAGGCTCGTCTTTGGGATACTATATGCTGATGTGGAAACAGGGAAGATGCCCGAAGGAGGAGTGGGACATGAGGGCGATTTATCTTCGATGACATTGATGGATACTTTCTCTTCCACCCTCTGAGTCTTATTTCCCTCGTGTCAGCTTCGTCGCTTGGTTACGAGACATTGTATTTGGATCATATTCATGATTATTGGAGACATTGACTTGCGCTGAGACATCTTGTACTTCCAACCTGACGAGCTTTCAAATTTACTGGGTTCATTGCAATTTTTTCGTCCTCAATTTCATTATGCTAATAAGGAATTCTGAAGTGACCCAAAGGCAAAAGTCGTGTCTATCACAATTGCACAAGGAGTTTGAAGTCTAAACTTCAAATTCTAAAGGGCTGTACCTGTACCTTAATTTTATTTTTTACTGTTGTAATGACCTGCAAAATCACTCACTGAGAAGTTGAGAACTCTGCTGATTTCTGAGTTTTTCCGCTTTAATGCGTGACTTGCTGAGATTCCCGCTTCCTGGGGAGATTTCAAAAGCTGTGTGTGTGCATACCTGCTGGTTCCCGTGTGGTTGTCTGAGGGTGACCCACCAGGAAATTTGTATGTTTGGAAGGCCCTTGGGCCTGGTACTTACCTGTGGCCCTGCGTTTGTGGGGTTGCAGCAGTAGGCTAGGCCCGCGTAGCTGGAAACACTCAAGTATGGGGTAGGCTAGGCCCATGTAGCTAGAAAATACTTCAGTAGCAGTAGGTAGGCAGAAGAAGACAAGACAAAATATATGGCGCCCTACAATATCTGGCTGTGGGTTACAGGCTCAGTCGACGGGTTGCTTGATTTTAAGCAGCTCAAATCAGCTCAGTTCATGACTTATGTAATCTTTCGTACATCATTACATGTTTGCAGGGGATGCTTGGCCAATTTCCCAACAGGTGAGGCTCCCCACCAATAGATAGAGTGGCCAGCCATGGGTTTACTAGGGGGGGTAGCTCCTATCCCCACCTTCGTTTTTTTTTTTGTTTTTTTTTTTTTTCCACCAACACAAAGCCCCTTCTACTCTGGGGGGCAGCAGTCCGGTTACTTACCACCAGCAAGCATGTTTGTACATCCAAAGAAAGGGGGGAGATCAGATCAGAAAAGGGGAACAGCCCAACCCTTGTGGCATTGATCGTCTACCAAGGGGGGACCTGCTAAAGGGGGCCATGGTCTTTCTCTGGGGGCCACCCTGCTGCCCAGGAGGCTTCCTAGCAGCACCCAGACACGCAGCAGGGGGACCCTCAGAGAGACGGGGCGCGGGGAGGGGCCTCCCCTGCAGCTCCTCGGGTCGCCTATCAAACTCCACAGACTATTGTATCATCAATTCCTACTTAATCTACCTTTGTCCAGCTATCATGCTATCTGTCTTAAGACTCTTAACCTGTTTGGGCTACCTTGCCATCCCTCACTGTACCTTCCTCTTAACTGGCCCCCATGTCACTTACTGACTCTATGTACCTTGCTCCGTAAACCTATGTCGGCTATACAATGTATCCTCAATCCTCCCAGCGCCTTCTATCCCGCATTGACTTTCCTGTTCCTGTACTATCTTTTTGGTATTTTTGGTGTTTTTGTTGTACTTTTGATGTTTCTGATGTATTGTGATGTCTGTTCACCCATCCCCCCCATCCCCCCCATCCCCCCCATCCCCCCCCCCCCCCCCCCCCCCCCCCCCCCCCCCCCCCCCCCCCCCCCTGTCCTTTGGCCCTACTCCCTCTGCTCTAATCTCCTTCCCCTAATATTGTACACTTGCCGCGCTAACTAACTAATTCTACTTACTGCCTACCGCCTTCCTCCGTGTCTGAGCGGGGTCTTTGACGTAGAAGCAGCAGATCGAACACCATGCGCCTAGGGGTCTCTGGCGAGCAGCTGCGGGTATGAGCCCCATCTGGCCCAGAACCGTTCTTCCTTCCCCGCTCCTGTGTTTCTGCTACGATGCCAATCCGCCAGGAGAGCCACACAAATATTTTCCAGCGCCCTATCCTGGTAAACCTGTAGCGGGGAAGAGGTACCCTGTCTACAGCGTTCGTTTCTCAGTGTCCACAAGGCCAACAACACCACCACCCTCACAATTTTGGCTGCCATCAAGTCCTTCGGTTTTGGCCTGTCCACTTTCATCAGTGCCCCCAATAGGATAGCTGCATCATCATCCTCTGTGACCTCAAGCGGGGTTTTATCCGCTATATCTCGTGCCCACCAGTCCCGAAAGGCCCGCACTATCGGGCATCTTACAAACAAGTGGGGCACTGTTTCCACTTGTGCACAACCTGCCGCACATCTCTGGTCCTTGTGCCGGCTCTTAGTTGCCAACCACTGCGCCATGGGATCGCTAGATGGTACAGCTGCCATAGGAGGCCTGCCTATTTCTGATCTGGCAGGGCTGCCAGAAGTGCACATTGCTCATTCCACCTTCGTTGCATCCATCTACCAAAATATACACCAGAGATCCAGTTTCTCTTGGCCCATCGAGTCCTCAATTCCTCACAGATGTTTACCGGCTCCAGTAAGGAGTTACATATATTCTTGGTAGTAAGGTTCTGGAGCGGCACGTCTGTCCTTTGCATTCTTTGTCACGACGATTCCCATTCTCTGGGATCCCATATCAAATCCCGCCGCCTGGACGCAATACAGAAGGGAAGGTACTGTCTCTCTCTCCTCTTCCCTCCCTCACACATCGCGACCGTTTCAATTGCACCCCTGTCCATACTTTTCTGGGGGTTCCCTTCCCCCCCTTCGTCCTCCTGCAAGCGTTGCCCCCAACCTTCATAGCCCGTATTCACACCTCAACCGGTGACCTGTAGCCTTCCGTCCTCCAACACCTGCTCCACCTTGTATATTCTCTCCGGTTTAGTGTGACCCCACATCCTCACCCATTCCCCTGCGATGATCTTGTCCTTTCTCAACAAGTCAATCCATCGGGGAGGGATAGCCTCCCGGAGTTCCCCACCCTCTGCCTCCTCCTCATCCTACCCTGCAGGGATTCCACCACCTCATTATCCGGGCGCCAGTCCCTTCGGTCCTCATCCCATAGGTGACCCACCTTGCAAATGCCCTGCTCCGTCCACTTCCATCCACAGGCTCCCCGCGGGCTGTGCCAGGGCGGGGGCTCGCCACTGGCATCACATATGAACCTATTGCCAAGTAACAGCTGGTTCAACACTGCATCCACGGTTTCAGGTAGGCGGCACCTCACCTGCACTTTCTTCCACAGTGCCACCTTTGTTGACCACACCATGTCCCTACGAACATGGTAGATCGCCTTATTATCCAAAACACACAAATCCACAATGTCCTCGGGCACTTGCAATGCGTAGGCGAGATGGGCCCGGGCGACACCTTGCTATGCAGCCCCCATCGTTTGTAGCAGGTGCCAAAGCAGTTGCCGTAATAATCTGCGTTCGTGGGGCTAGGAGGGCCAGGCCCCAAAACCGTTTCGGCTGGATGAGTTTGGTCCATGCCACTCTGCATATGGAATCCTCCGCTTGTGCATCGTTGGTCCACAAATGTGGATGGATGCCTTCTTGATATATCTGAAAGTGCGCTTTCCTGGCATGTGGACTGAACCTGCGTACCTAAGGGTGGCAAATGCTCAGTTTTTTATAACAGGGGCCTTCCCAAACACACCCATACGCCCCATCCCCCCCTTCTACAAGATCCAGTCTGTTTTTTTTTGCAAGGCAGAAGAAGACAAAAGTTAGTACCTTTAGAGGCCGAGTGAATTTTAGAAGTCCGGTAGGCTTAGGTCTAGGGGTACTGGTCCAGTAGTCTGAGTCTAGGGTCTGTGGCGGACAATATCAGACCTGCGATGATGTTTCCCTCCGTAAGGAGGAAGGTACTGGATGCTTGGGAGGCCGAGCAGCCTGGAACGTCACCGCCCAAGGAGGCTTCTGGCCTGTATATGCTTCGGAAGAGCACTGAGCTCTTCCTCATTCTGGGGTGTGCAAGTTTGGGGTCACTCTGCTTGAGCAAGTGCTGGGCAGTTCAGCGCTGGGGAGGACGAAGGTGGAAGGAGGGAGACTCCGAGGTATAGAAGGAGGAGGAAGAAGGTGAGCAAGGAGTAGAGTGCCGGGGTTGCTTACCTGGCTAAGGTGGATGGCATCTTCAACTTCTTGGTTGGCGCTGCACCTGGAAGGCCCCAATAGGGCTGTGCTGCTCAAAGGAAGGCTACAGGGCAGAGTTAGGCATGAGGGTCATGAGAGAGGGGACATACCATCTTTGCGTTGTCCTTCGAACATCGGGGCAAGGCCCAACTAGTCCGCCATAGCCACCTACCGTCGTCACCCGAAAATAACGTATACAACGCCCAGGCATTATTTATGGGAGAGGAACAACGGCGGTGCGGAAAAGAGGTTGATCAGGACACACTCCAAATCAATTACCCAGGAAAGTGGTGAAGAAATAAAATATTACCCTGTTCGTCCCTCTTTCCATGCATCAAACAAACTTGTGCTCCTATTCCACAGTTGCTTTCCTGCCACGTTTCGTGGACCTCCTGTAGTTTGTTCGAAAACCACATCGCAGAAAGACGGCAGAGCGAGTGTTAGAACGACCAAATGGCAAAATGGAGATGGGGAACCACAACCAACAAAAGCAAACCAAGCAGGAGCAACAAGAAATTTCAGAACTTCTCAAAGATACAGAGATTCATTCATTAAGTTCAAAGGAATCAAAACATCCAGAGAAACAGGACGCGAGGAGAATGGAACAAACAGATAGCACTACCACACCCAGAGGAACTCAGAACCTGCTTCCGATAGCCATAGTTGATCCATTCGAGGACTGGCCTATTCAACCACTTTTTCTCCCACCATTGCCATAGCCTTTAGCAACAGAGCAACACAAAATCCCTCCACATGTTTCACTCTGCTAAGAGATGGAGCTCATCAGGAGGATGTGCATGAGAAATCATGTACTTCTGCCCAATGCAAGAACCGATGGCATTGAAGCCCATTTATC